GTCAGCTAAAGCATTGATGATCATGATCTGCAATCGATCACCAATGCAAGCACGCTTACAGCGCTGGGACAAGATGTGAAGCTAAACTGCAACATGCTGCTGCACCGTTCTGTAAACTGGGATGAGCTGTAACGACGCATTTTTTCTTCTCCCTGATACAATGACATGTACGTCTTGTCCTTCGTGTTGAGAAAAAAAAAACAGCACTCTAAGATAGGATCGGATGGAGCGAATATGACCATGTCGATCACCACAGAACGAAGGATCGTGTTCATTACACGGAGAGTAATTAGCATCTCAGTGCCGTATGCCCATATTAGGTGGCTTTTAATTTGTTTTGTGCTTGTTGAGGTGGTTATGAGCAGTTGCAATACTAGACGAGCCAATGCGAAAACTGGAACGAACAGCATGGGGGCCTCAAGGGAAATTGCAGCGTCGTCCGCCTCCACTAGATGGATTGGCTAGAAACTGAAGATGGGTTAGTTGTCATGAACGCAGGGCATGGACAATTATATTTGCGGCATGTGTCACTCACTGTCAAGGAGGGAAAAAACAACTACTAGCAATCTAGCATGCAATGTAATAGCGTACACATCTCCAGGCGCTGAAACCACTCTCATTTTTTGTTTATTTTTCTGGTGGTACGAGAAAAAAATATCACATCGAAACTGTCCTTGTCGTCTGAATTCAAAGGCCGGCATTCTGGCTTGAATATGTGCTCCATCTTCTCCCAAATCCTGATCAGAGCATTCAATTCAAGGCCTCCGATGCAAAAGCCTCTTACCTGGGCGACTGGGTCACGGGGCTCAGAGACCCTCCAGGCTCCTGCAGGTTTCAGCAAGAAACCAGAGCTTGCCTCTGTTTGATGCAAAGCTAGAGCTGTGAATGCATGGCAATTGGCATGCATTGCAACATAGCCATTTGGCAATTTGGGTGTGCATGCAGTGCAGGGTGCCCACGGATGGATGCCACTTTAGTCCCTTTCACCATTTTTACAGCTCGAGAATGATGTAACGGAAAAGAAACTACGCATGCACTAGTGCATGATTGAGTGAGTAGTGGTTGTTGGGTGCATGGATGGGGCTAGCGACGAGGCTGCGTGCCGGTGTCGTCGTCGTCGCTGGGACTCCGAGTCAAGCCCATCACACATGTCGTGTATTTAAGGACTGCTAAGTTTCTGAATTTTAAAAAAATATAAATATAGAATTTAAAGATGCTATACAGACATTGATGACATTGACTTTTAGTAGCACTTGTACAGCTCAGTTGTTAGAGCGAGATTCAGAAACTGTGTACCAGCTAGCTAGTACTGCTTCGGGTAGTTAGTATGATTGGGTCGTGCAGTGATAGTAACAGTCAATAGGTACGGTAATCCAAAATGTTTTAAAGATGCATGCCTGTGCTCTTTGTAGTATTTGCGAGATGACGAGATACTATTAGTGTTTTTGAGCCAACATATGGTGTGCTAAATGTGCTACGGCGCAACTAACTCGAGAATGGGAATTTGGTTCTAGTTCTGTTTTTTTCCCAAGATAACCCTGGTTCTGAAAAAGAACTAGGTTTTGGTTGTAGTAATCCATATAGTTTACTCTAGTTTTTTAATAAATTTATTTGAAGATAAAATGTTGCACGTATTTTCTATAAATCGAGTCAAAGTTATCGGCACACAGAACATGGCGACAAACATTTAGGGACAAGAGGGAGTAAGTTTAAAGTTTCAAGAATTGCGTCATCGCTCAAAATTCGTAATTCCATTGCGTCCAGTATTCATGGTACTACACCGCATATTATAATTTAATTATACAAGCTAAGTACTAGAGCATGTGTGACAGTAAGGGTGTGTTTAGGAGGGCTCTTCCCCAAAAGCTTCTATGGAGAAGTCAGAGCCGTTTTGAAGGAGCCATAAGCGGTGTGTTTGGTTGCCGAATGAGGACTTGCATCGTATATCCTCTATGAGTGGATGTAGACTGAGTGGAACCGTATTTCAGAAAAAGGTGTTTAGTGAGGTTGGATGAGCGGATGCAGAAAAATTGAGATGCTGTTTAGTTGTCTACATGAGCGGATACAACTTGGCTAACATGTAAGGCTGACATGTGGACCCATCCTCTGCAACCTGCATCCACCGGGCTAGGCTCTAGAGTGAAGCTCGTTTTGGCCATCTCCACCGGGCTAGGATGAGACCGTATGTCTACATGAGTGAAGTCAAGTTGGAACAGTGGAGCCTGCCAACCAAACAAGCTTCTGTTTATGCGTATACGGACAAGCGGAGCCAGGATAGGGTGGGTGAAAGGTCATTGTTTGGTTTTGGTAATTGAGTGACAACCTAGATGGACTAATGTGTGGTTAAGTGATTTACACAGAAGATTAGTCCACAAGAACACTTGTGTGAGCAACTTATGCCATAGAGGTGAAATGTCTTGGATATGTTGCATAGCTCACACATGTGATGATGGAGCTTATTGCATATGAGACATGACATGAAGTCATGTGACTAAGGTGGAGAATATCAAGACAAGACTCGGTTTGACGGACCGGTTGCAAGAGTGAAGGGCAAGTCGTGGACTTGGCGCCGATGGACCGAGGCAACGGTGAAGAGCAAGTGAGGTCAAGATTGATGAACCATTACGATCACGTGATGATATGAAGTGAATCATATCATTTGTGATTATGTTGGTGCATGTGTTGCATCGACATCGAAGGAGATGAAATGGAATGCACAAGGCAAAGGTATAACCTATAGAGCATTTCATTTCACCGGTCATAGGTGTGTAGAGAAGTTTATGACCGGGTTTAGGTTAGATGGCCATACTATCAAGAGGGGCAAACTTGTTTGCATATCGGTCATCTAGTGCCACTCGAATGATATAACTTTTCATCGTTGCTAGGATCGAGTGGCATGGTGAATTGAGTGACTAATCATTTGGAAAACATTTGTGAAAAGCCAACACACATGCACAAGATGGTGATCACTTGGTGGTGTTGGCACATTTGCAAAGGAGAAGTTGTTAGTGTTGAAACGGATCGAGTTGGAGAGGAAAAGGAGAAGAAAAGGGCTAGTTATGGTTGTCTGGGGGTCGGAAGTTGCAACCTAACTCTTAGCCAAATCGTAGTCATTATAGAGGGTGGCACCGCCCTTTTCAGTGGCCAAAAAGTGGGCACCGCCACCCTAGGGCGGTGCCAGGGGCGGTGCTAGAAATAGCAGTAGCACCCTTTCGTATTTCGGGCATAACCCTTTGCTCCGAACTCTGATTTTGATTATTTAGGACTTTTCGAAAAGCTAACAAACAGCTCTACAGACTTGAAGTGATGGATTTCAATTTGGAGCAAGTTAGGGTCACTGGACTGTCCAGTGACCATTGTAGTGTGGCACCATCACTTTTTCCAGAAAGGGGGAAACTTGGTTGGGGGCACCGCCACCCCTAGGGTGGTGCACCGCCCCCTATGTCCGGTGCTAGGGGCTCAACGGCTAGTTCAAATTAGCCATTGGAATTCGACCGTTGGAGGGTGAAAGGTCCTAATGGCTAGATAAGGGGTGAATAGCCTATTAAAAATTTATACAACAACACTTAGCGAAGATGTTAGACAATTAAACGACGAAGCGAGTGTTGCGCTAGCCTACTAAAAATGCAAGCCACCTAACACAATTCTAGTGACTATGATATCTAAGCACTCAAAGGCAAAGTCACTACACTAAGTTAGTGTGCTCTCAACGGCTAACTAAAGAACCACACTAACCACTGGACCCGACACAAGCTTGCTCTCAAAACTAATTACAGTAAAGAGCGAAGCAACACTAGAAATGTAAATACAAGGTAGGCGATGTGATGATTATACCGCCGTATCGAGGATAGAGCCAATCACAGTATGATGGAGCTAATCAATCACAGTCAATCAATGAATACCAAGAAAACCCCGGACAAGGTGACACAAGATCTTTTATCGAGGTTCACTTGCTTGCCGACAAGCTAGTCCTCGTGGTGGCGATTCTCTCAATTGTAGGTTCACGCGCTAATTGGCATCACACGCCAAACCCGTAACCGGGTGCCGCACAACCAACACAAGATGAGGATCACACAAACCGCGAGCAATCCATTGGAGTACCTTTTGACTCTTCCCCGGGGAAAGGTCTAGAACCCCTCACAATCACCACGATCGGAGCCGGAGACAATCACCAACCTCCGCTCGACGATCCTCGCTGCTCCAAGCCGTCTAGGTGGCAGCAACCACTAAGAGTAACAAGCGAATCCTACAGCGAAACACGAACACCAAGTGCCTCTAGATGCAAATACTCAATCAATGCACTTGGATTCACTCCCAATCTCACAAAGATAATAAATCAATGCTGGAGATGAGTGGAAAGACTTTGACTAAGCTCACAAGGTTGCTATGTCAATACAAATGGTCAGGAGAGTGAGCTTGAGCCAGCCATGGAGCTTAAATAAGAGCCTCACGAAATAAGAGCCCCCACGTTATATATAAGCATCTTTCAGAGAAATTTATTAGACTACTCTGCCAAAGAAGACAAAATTAAATAAATGAATTTAAATTGATATATGCAAAGACTTGAAATAAAACTAAAAATATCTGCTATGTTAGTGATAGCGATACAATTTATGACAAGTATGTGACATAGGATGACTGGTGTTAATTATTTTCCCACACGACATGCAACTTGCACAAGGGGATCTACGTACTCAAGTTTTACTTAGAGAACAAAAGGCTAAAAAATAGAAAGGCCCAAGAACATACTCCGTCATAGCAGCATAGGAGTAGTTCTGTATGTTGTTTGGAATCTAAATGAAAACTACGCAGATCCTACGTAAACAACTTGATCAAGTGACCGATTTACAACAGCTAGCTAGCTAGCCGATTGATTAGTCACTGACGTACTGCAGGATCTATGTAGTTTTCTTTAGGAGACAGCGCGCTGTAATCACACCACACTCCTTGCTTGACGGGATTAGCTTGAGCTGGATCACTTGGACACACTAGCTAGAAGCCTAGAACGGGTAATCCATGGGGGCCGCATCAAGCAAGCTGGCGCTCTGGACATGGTGGAAGTGGTTGTCGTCGTCGAACAGCCACGACTCGATCGCCGACAGCGGCATCTGCTGGGACGGCGGCACGGCCGGCTTCGTCTCGTACTCGAAGACGACAGGCCCACCAGCGGCAGGCGCGACGGCGGCGCCACCGTACGACACCTCCGACGCGTCCGAGGATCCGGTGGACGCGCTCTCGGCGCCGCCGGGCGTGCCCGGACTCCCGCCACGGGCGCCCTTGCGGCCGGCCCAGCCGTCCAGCATCCGCGAGATGTTCTCCGTGGTCAGGACGAACGGCCCCGCGGCGGCGGCGGCGGTAGGCGCCGACGGGGAGCACTGCGACGCGCCCGACGAGCTCGACGCCGGGCTGTCGCCGCCGCCGTCGCCCACGCCCACGCCCACGCCCACTCCCGCGCCGGGCGCGTCGACGGCGGCGTCGCGCTGCAGCTGCGTCGGCTTGAGGTCGTCGAGCGGGGTGAGGGCCTCGCGAAGCGCGCGGCGCGCCAGGTTGATGTCCGTCTGCAGCCTCCTCTCCCACTGCCCCTTGGACGACGACGGCGGCCTGTGCGCCGGCGGCTTGGCAGCCCCGTCGCCGCCGCCGCTCTGCAGCTTGCGCTTGAGGTGCGTGTTCCAGTAGTTCTTGATGTCGTTGTCCGTCCGCTCCGGCAGGTACGACGCGATGGCCGCCCACCTACACCACACCATGCGTTGCCGTCAATAACACCATCCATGTGCGGCCACACTCCTCGTCAGCTGTAACACCATGTGCGAATGAATAAATCTCCGTCCGTACCTGTTGCCGAGGAGGGCCTGGAGGTGGATGATGAGCTTCTCCTCCTGCTCGGTGAAGTTGCCGCGCTTGATGCCCGGCCGGAGGTAGTTGGTCCACCGCAGCCGGCAGCTCTTGCTGCACCGCATCAGCCCTGCGCGCAAGAATCCGGCCGCCACCGCGCGATCAGCTCTCTCTAGCTCGATCGAATAACACTATACTAATAATGGAATGAAGTGTGTGATGGTCCGATGGATCAGATCATCTAGCACGACATACCAGTTCTGGCCGGGACGGCGCGCCAGTTGCCGGGTCCGTGCTCCTGGATGTAGGAGACGAGGACGAGGTCCTCCTCCGGCGTCCAGGGGCCCTTCTTGACGCCCTCCTTGTCGCAGCACGGCGGCCTCACCATGGTGGTGACGAGCAAAAACAACTGGCTTTCACCTTCGCGTTAGCTTGCGGGTTATTGCTAGCTTGCTCGTGTGTGATTGATGTGAGTGAACTGCGGTGGCGGTGGTGGTGGGCAACAACGCACAAAAAGGCTACAGCTGCTAGCCACCGGCGCCGTACAAAAACAAGAGCGGGACCGTCAGATCACCAGAGCTCTCTCTCTCTGATGATCCGTGTCTTGTTGCGAGCAACCGAGCTAGAAGAAGCCAGCGCGCGTGTGTTGGTAGATGGGTACTTGGTGTGGTGGCTTGAGGACAAGGGTCCAAGGGGGTGAGGCGTAGGCGTGTATATATAACGGTGGCCGCCGCGGCCGCCCGGCCGGCCAAAGCCCGAAGCACAGCGCTGACCCTCTGTGGGGCTGTCGACTATGGCTAGGATGCCGAGACAGCTAGGGTACTAGCCGCAGCAAAGGTTGTATAGCTCACTTGAAGAGTCAAATGTAGACAGAGAAAGATGAGTGTAGACTTTAGAGAGAAAATGAGATGAGGGGCTTGTTTAGTTCCCAAACTTTGAATTGGCAAAATTTCTGTAGCGACACGGTAACATTTCGTTTGTATTTATTAATAATTGTCCAATCGTTGACTAATTAGGCTCAAAACGTTCGTCTCGCAAAGTACAACCAAACTGTGCAATTAGTTTTTGATTTCGTCTACGTTTAGTACTTTATGTATGTACCGCAAGTTTGATGTGACGAAGAATCTTCTTTTTGCATAGTGTATTTTTCAGGAGTTTTAGAATAACTAAACATGGCCGAGGAGTACTCGTAGCAGTGTGCAATGTGCATTTACTCCTGGCTCGTGGCAAAGTCAGCCTGGTGGCGGGGCGGTACACCACAGCACAGCACACTGCAGTGAGCAGTGGCCGGCCGGGCCTTGCCTGGCTGCCGCTAGCTATTGCCCGCCCGTCTCGCCTCGCCTTTGCCCTCGCGTCGCGATAGCCGCGTTGCATTAAACGCGCCGGGTGCGTGGCCGCATATGGCATGTTGCAACGCGCCGGTTTCCATCGCGTTGGCCGTATGCGATCCCCCATCGGGGCCCGGCCCGGCTGCCGTGCACCGCTAAAGCTGCTGCTCGCTCTCCGCCTCTCTCCCCTACCTCTCCCCGGGCGGCCGGGCCCGTGGATTCAATGCGAGCTCCACCGGCAGCAGCAATCTCATGTGCGTGCCCCTTCAATTTCCACACACCCCTGGTGGCCAAACAGATTGCTGGGGCCGCCGGACCTCTGCGCTGCGTGGGTACTCGCGGTGGTATCCAGACGAGGGACGACCCAGTCAAGGAGTCGCTATTACTACCGCAGACTACTTGTTGATGCAGTGACGTTTTGGTCATCCACGCCCACGAGCCACGACGACTCATCAGGTGCAGATGCATGTGGCTGGGAGTTTCTGTACCGGTTTTCAACAGACTCGTATTTTATAAACAGTATAAAGAGTTTCATCCTTTAAAACCCTCTCTACTCATATAAAACTCTTAGTCATGTTAGCATATTTAATACCTTTGTCATCCCTTTAAAACTCTCTCTACTCTTATAAATCTCTCTCTTTATTAATATAATGTTATGTCAGCATATTTAATACCTATTCGTGAAACCCTGGTTGAGATGGGCCTAATCCAACACTTTGATGAAGTGCTTGGTGTTCTGGTACCCATGGCGAAGCCAGCGGAGGGGCTACGGAGAATTGGAGATGTTTTTTTTGTTGTCTCTCATCTAGGGTACAATTGTAGCATCTGTTCGTACGCACGCACGCCCACTCAACACACGCCCACCACACACAACACCCGTGTACAAACAAACTTATAGCTATACTCAGATATGAAGATCGCGTCCTTCTTGAGATCACCGAAATCTTCTGATTTTGTAGGTAACGGACACGTCACAATCCCATTGTGATATCAAGCTAGAGAGGCAGAAGCTTGGAGACGTTGATCTCCTCCTTTAACCTCCTTGCCTTTGCCTCTTTTTCCCCCATTCTGCTTCTTCTTCCCTCTCCTGTATTACTCCTCTGCCTTCTCCCCGCAAGGCACTGTACACTGTAGGCTGGCAGGTAGAGATAGTCAGATAGGCACAAGAGACAAGAGGAAATCACTCACAGTCCTCCGGTTCTCCCCTGGTGTTTTGTTTTTGATTGATGATCGATCAGTCATCCATCGGTGACATTGTAGCCATCGCACATTGAATAGGCTGGGTGCATGCATGAGCAAGCCATATTTGTCGCACCTTCGCAAAAGACCCGTAACTTAACTACGTACGTATACGGAGCGTCACTCGTCTTTACTTGGATTCTTGTTTTGGCTTGGTGCACTTACACCGAGTCTTGGCACAAATTCTTTTATTTCACTTGGTATGCTACTTGTACTCTCTTATCATAGTTCACGACAAATTCCATTTTGCGAATTCAAACACCATTTTCTGTGTAAGTATAGCAGGGCCTCCTCTGGATCCTCAGGCTAAAAATACTTGTGTTAGCTGACTTGTTGGTGAGAGCATCTTCAAGAGATTAGCCAAAAAGACCATCGAATTTATTGATTTAGCTACTCTCTAAAATAAATTTAATCAAAAAATACTAGAGTACTTCTACGTTGTAAAGCTAAGAAGCTAGATGGATAATGAGGTAGGCTATCTAAAATTAGAGAGCGAATGAGATGAGATATGATAGATAACTACTAAATTTGGAGAGTCATTTACAGAGTAGGTTGGAAACGTTTTCCTTTAATAATAACCAAATTTACCTTTAAAAAACGATTTGGCTAATCTCTTGAAGATGCTCTAAGACACTAGCTAGACTACTAGTTTACCTACTCTGTTTGTCTAGGAATGCAATTTGCATTTTAGCAAGAAAAAAATCATACAAAGTAGATTTTAACGTTTACTCTGTCCTAACAAAGAATGCAATTCTACAATAATACTAAGCCAAATGATATGAAGTTTGACCAAATTTTGGAGAAAGAGGTGGTAATTTGTCTAACAATATGTCATCGGTCGCTAAAAAATCAACACCATCCAGATGTGGTTTAAATATAAACATGTCAATGCAAGTTCTGTACGCTAAACTTGCATGTAATTTGACTAATTAATGTAAAATAATTATAAAATTTGCTTTTTTCCATGATAAAAATTTGTCTTATATTACTAGAAATTATTAGTTAGCTGAGGTCCAAACAGAACATGTGAGTGTTTAAAATCTTGAAAGCTAATCTCTTACACCAGTTTCGGTGAGAGTATTTCACAAGAGTTTCATTCGCATTAAATAGGTTGTCACATAATTATTTTTAATGACATGACAGCGTAGATGAAACTCTCTTGACACGATTACCAACCATCTATGATGCATGACATTAAATGGTATGAAACTATAGAATGAGACTTTGCATTATGAGTGAGTGTTTCTCCAAGTTTTATTGTCTTCGAAACAACGTCATGACATTAAATGCTAGGAAACTAACCACTAAAACAGTCCAAAATTCACGAAAGCCATCGTCTCTCCCACCAAATCGTGAATCCAGCTAGAGACGGTACTTATCATACGAGCGGGTCTCATCGGATTGGGAACCAACATGAATGATGGTTGAGTGTTGTGCTAAAATAATAAATATACGGCATGTTCGCTTGCTCGTATACGATCGTGGATTATAAGCCGGAACAGTATTTTTCTCTCACACCAAACCAGCTAGCAATAAATAATCCACGATCGTTTACGACGAAACGAACATGCTGATAATGGGCATCATATATAACCAAGAATCCGGGTCCATCTTCTATCAACATTCTCTTAAAATTTTAATATTTCAAGAAATTGTGTAATTATATATGGTATTTATATCATGTGACTAGATGTGTGATATAGTGATGGTAATTTCGAGCACCATAGGATCAGTGTTTGCTCGACCTGACCCGTTCTCATCTCGAATGTGATGCCTTGTTTAGTTTTAGTAAGTTGGAATTTTGGGCTACTGTAGCATTTTCGTTTTTATTTGACAATTAGTGTTCAAACATGAACTAATTAGGCTTAAAATATTCGTCTCGTAATTTTCTACCAAACTGTGCAATTAGTTTTTTTTCGTCTACATTTAATGCTCCATGCATGAACCGTAAACATTCGATGTGATGACTACTGTAGTATTTTTTAGGATTTTGGGTTGCAAGTAAACACGGGCTGAGATAGACGGCTGCTTGGGAGCCAAAACCTGGTCGCCGGTTTTTGACCGCCATCTCTGGCACCACACTGACATTTGGGTAAGTTTGACGGGCGGGCGCTGCTTCGTCACGTTACGTTCCCCTCGACGCAACGCAACGCAATAAAAGTGGGCTTTCCGGTGCAGCCTACCGACGATCCCTGTGAGTCGGCAGCTAAGCTAGCGTGCAGTACTAGCACTGTGGAGTACCAGCGGCATGCAGTAGGGCAATGAATGCCTCGTGTTACCTTGGCACTTTAAGCGCCATAGATAGACCAACGTATACTACTTGCATATATATGTATATATATATATACACACACATACACACACGCAGTTAGTTATTAATGTGGCGCACCAAACCGCAGGCCGGCGCCAGTGCGGTGCGGAGGGAGACCGACCGACCGATGGATCCACGAAACAGCAGGAGTGTTGTACTGTGTGCATAGCACCGGCACATGCGCGAGCCGGCTGCGGCCTGCGGGCTGGCTGGCCAAGCCGTGGGTCAGTAGGTGGGTACTCTAGAAGGAGGAGATCGAGGTCAATGCGCAGGAGTAAAGGCCATGCGACGCCAAGTCAACATGGAGTCCACTGGACAGGAGGAGTACAAGGCTCACTTGGATAGCTGTATAGACGCCTAGAAGTAGCTTGCTTCTTGTACTGTGTCTCGGATTTTTTTTCTTTATTGTGCCTAGAAGTATGTCTCGGATTAAATACCGATAGGATCACAAAAGCACAGAAGGATAGGACGATCGCAAATACTCGGAGTAGTGATTTCCTAGATAATGAA